TTTCCAGCGCTTTGAACGGGGATCAAAACGGACGTACGAATCCAAAGTTACGTCCAAAACAGTTTCGACCGAAAATATGAACATCCGTGACGGACAGAAACACGCTGTTACGCTCCGGAACTGATATTCACTCAATTATTCTTGCGAATCACTTACTCAAAACACTCAAAACATCACTAAAACATTCCTAAGGTTATACAACAATAACTGCACAACTTCTATGGTTTATTATGCTCATCTGACAACATTTGCAACACATAAAATACTATTTCCTGCAATTGCTCTGAGTACTTCAGAGTTACCCACATTTGAATATTCCTATTCCTACAGGGTCAAACATATCACAGTCCAAGGTTTTGGCCACAAAGGCAAAGATCATTATTTCTCAACTCTACACTCAAAGGGTTAAGAATACTAACCACTAACCTCTAAGGTCTACCGTCAATTTCCTTACAATTGCTCCAAAGGCATCGTAATTTCAAATATCAAATATTCTATCCCATATGGGTAGACATATAACAATGTTTTGGCCACAAAGGTTCAATTTTCCATAAGTTTTTCCTATATTAATATTCAAAAATACATATCAGTTGGCCATTTGGTCATAACGTAAGAATCTTACGGTTACCTCCCTATTTCCCACAATTAACCCAAATCTCTAAACCTTAGGGAAACCTTAGAGCATCGTACTAATAACGATATAACACATTCATTTCTACATATTTACCCAAATCCCTAAACCTTACATCACCACAACATACCGAAAGGTATACATAGAAAACTATGAAAAGCAATACTCCCCATACAATAATCATTCAAGAACAGCAACAATTTTATGGAATTTATCATGCTATGAAAATTAGATCAAGAATCATCAAGAACACATAATTCCTATGAGAGAAAGGACCTCTCACTACCCTCTCATGTTAATTCACCCATATTGAAATCCATTCTCCCCTTACCTCAATTAATTGCTCAATCGTAGAAGAATCTTGAAGGATTGACAGCCCTATCCTCCTTATCTTTCTCCTTGTTCTTCTTCTCACTTTTTCTCCCAAAACCTTTCTCTGACAGTTTATCGTGTTCTAATTCTCTTTCCCCAAAAAAACTTCTCTATTTCCTTTAATCCCTTATTTCTTATTTCATTATTTAAATCCTATAATAAATTAATAATAATAATAATAATAATAATAACAATACGAATATTGTTCTCCCACTAATAATAATATTAATACTAATAGTAATAATATGAATAATAATAATATTCCACCAAATAATATTATTAATACGAATAATAATAATAATAATAATAATAATAATAATAATAATAATAATAATGATAATCTCATTAACATTATTATTAATAATAGTTGGAATAATATTAATCACTATAATACTCTCGATATCATGATTAACTTACTCCTTTATCTAGGTCCACAGTACCCCAACTAAGATCACCTCTCTCCCTTACTCCTAACCTCATACCCTTAATTAAGGACACCACACAACTATACCTCACAAAAAATACCAAAACGACTGAATAATTTAAATGGGGTGTTACAATCTCTATGGCATCCTTCATGTCATATGGATGCAGTCGTCGGTCATATGGCTGTGATCTTATGGAACTGACAATATCTCGACTTGTCAGTGTTTGGCTTGGATGGTATTTGTTTAGGGAACTGGATTCTCGCTTGCTGAAATTTGGAGTTGGCACATTCAGAGAGGATCTTTTCTCAGGAGACTGTCAGGGGAGTATACTCGTGGAACCAGTCGGAGGGCCCTTTGTTGTCCTGGGGCTCTCGGGGATAATTTTCGCGTCTTCTATCGCCTCAACGAGATGTCAAAGGCTTGTCGGGTTTGGAGGATCGGGCACTCTCCCGATGCCTCGAATCTCGGGTAGAACTGACAACCTCATTTTCTTCGTACTGGATGTACGCATGTGCTTTGAGGAGGAAGGTATCCAACGTGGTTGGGGGATGGATGCCCACAACTTTGTCAAATTTAGTGCAATGATGGAGCCCACATTCGAGCAAAAATTTCTTCATGTCATCAGTCGTGGAGACCTGGACAACTTCCTTGTTGAACCTCTCGATGTAGGCTCGCAGTGGTTCATCCTTCCCTTGAATGATGGCCTTAAAAAAATCTTCGGTTTTTGGGTGTCGGCGAGAGGCCATGAAGTGTCTAGAGAACATTCTCCCAAATTGCCTTCATGATGTGATGGAATCGTCGGGGAGTCTTTTATACCAGGTCATTGCTCCCTTCTTGAGCATGGTCGGGAACAACCTACATTTGATGGCGTCTCGAACGCCACGGTAATCGAGTAACACATCAATATTTTTGATGTGCTCGTCGGATCCGTAGTATCGTCGTATGTGTCTAGAGAAGGGGGTTTCTCCAGTCCCTTCGGCAGACGCATAACCATAATCTCCAGGGACAACAGGCCGCGAGGCTTGTCGTCACTGCTACTGCTGGACCATGACAGGGAGCGGGTGCCCCGTCTATAGGTAGGATGACGATCTCGACGGGAAGATGAGGTTCAGGCCCGACTCTTGGATCTGGGCGGAGGCAAACACTGAGACTCTGCTTGGTGATCTCTTTTGGTCCTATTGGGTCACAGGGAATACTGGTTCCAAGGAAAGATGTGGTCGCGCTTTCTGACAGTCTGGGTCTCTAGCTCCGGAGGTGTCCGATGGTTTCTCTCGCACCGGGGAGGAGGACTTTGTAGTCTCTGACGCTCTTTCCTCGACGGAGGGGATCTTGGACGACTGGACTCTTTTAGGGCTTCAATCCTCATGTTCTGATTGAGGATTAGGAGATTGATCTTGTTGAGAACCTCGAAGAGGGCAGCCATGACCGGGTCGGCGCTGGACATAATTAAAACTGGCAGGTGCTCCGTGATGAGCGAGACCTTGTTGTGATCTGCGGGAACAGAGGAGGGAGAAGCGGAGGCTCTGTCCCTTTGTTGGAGGACGTCGCCCTAAGATAGGTGGTTGCTCCGTCAGTACAAGTCTTGTTGACCGGGAGGAAGGCAGAGTTGCGAGCATCATGGGTGTTGTCACGACTTGCCATGATCGAAATTTGGAAGGATTGTTTTGGTCTCGAATCTACAATGGGAGAAAAGACGGGGATAACAGGTTTCTCACAAACGACGCCACTGATCTTGACTACTGATCAGAACTTGAGGCGGGTCAGAGACAATCGTTTGTGATGCTGGGTGTGAGAGAGGAGGAGGGGGTGTACCTGCAAGGCACTCCGATGATAAAGTAAGAATCAGGAGAAAGAAGGCAAGTACAAAATATATGTGTATAAAGGTGAATATTAAATACTCGACCCTCTCAAATGAGAGGGTTTTTATAGTGCCCCCAGCGCTTGACCATTAGTCCCTATTTTCGGGGCGAGATAACCGTTTCCCAAAGAATAGGTAACAGCTAGAAACTAGTCGTTGGGACGGGCAGATGTGCCCATAACTAACTGTTGCTACGGGCAGAGATGCAGTAACAGACACAAGCGTCTTGACTGTTTCTGGATGGTGGAACCGTGCGTGACAGAAAAGGATTGACGAGGAGAAGTGCTGACCCAGGGATAAACCGATCAACCTCCCCTATTGGAGGGGCAGAAAGTTAAATGTTTCTGCAAATTGGTTGGATTTAAATAATTAGACCGTTTTAAAAGTAGAAATAGATTGAGTCATGACTAATCATTGGAACAGTCCAAAACAAAAACTTTATTGAATAAATAATTTCTCTTCTTCAATTTCCTTCCACTTTCAACTCAAACAAACAATGTATAAAGAAAAAAAGAATATACACTTTTACATGATCTGTATTATAATTGATTGTTATAATTTTATTGAAATATGATCTAAGGGTGTGTTTGGTTCGAGGTAGATGGAGGGGAGGGGAGGGGAGGGGAATTTTTTAATTAAATATGTTTGGTTCAAATTTTAGGAGGGGAGGGGAGTAAAATCCCTCCAAAACACACTTTTTGGTTCCCTCCGAATTGGGGGGATTTGGAGGGGAGGGGAGGGAATATTAGTTTTGATATTTAAAAATTATTATATTTACTAAAATATAACCAGTTTAATTTTATTATTTCAAAACTATTTGTTATCTTTTATGTTACTGTTTTTTCTCGATTGTTTTCATCAATTTATTATAATTGTTCTTCACCTTCAAATTATTTTATAATTTTTATAATTAATATAAATCATAATCATTGTCTTTTTTTTTATAAAAAAAATTATGTTTCGTTATATTCGTTTTTTTCTTTTAATTTTGTTATGTACTCTATCATATTTTCTTTTATATCAAATTGTAAACCATATCATTTTATTTATTTTTGTTTATTCATTTTATTAAATATTTTGAACCATTAATATTTAGTAATAAGTTATTTTATATATTTGTTTTGTTATATGATTCATCACAATTTAAACGATGTTATTGACATATAGTTTAATTTATGTTGGAAAGTTATAAGTCGAATCGATTGTACTCAATTTTTTAACTTTAGTGACAAATAAATATTTTTTTAATCACTCAATATTAGAAATTTTATTACCAACAAAAATACGCACGGATTTTTCACATTTTAATATCATATGACTTATATAAGATCATAAGGATAAAAATGTAAATTATTAATAAAACCCTTTCTCTTCTCTTTTGAACCAAATACATTTTTAATTAAAATCCCTCCCCTCCTCTCCTCTCTTTTGAACCAAACACTTATTTGATTAAAAAATTCCTTCACCTCCCCTCCCCTTCATTAAAATCCCTCCATTCCCCTACCCCTAATTTGAACCAAACATACCCTAAAACTTGTTTAGATGGAGTATCTGTAATCTCAATGTATAAAAGAAAAATTAGTTTTGATGTCTCTCCTTTTCTCTCTCTTGCACACACAAGTAAATATTGTGCAACCGTCTCGCTTCACCTCGTCTTCCATTTTCGAAAAATCGAATTTTCGTTCAGTTGCACCTCGCAAGTTTCGAAGCCATGGATGAAGAAGCCGCTCGTCCCATCAGAATCATGAACTTTGTCTCCGAAGAGCAAGTAAGTAAACTCTCTTCATTCACAAACTCTCCTGCTTCAATTTCCCCTCTTTTCTCGAAAATCCACGAATTATGCATAAATTAGGGTTCGTTGCCAAATTCCTCATCTACACATGGTTGTTGAGTTCGTTTGTTTTGTAACAGTTGCTAGAATCGAAAAAAACAAGAGGCGAACGGGTTGAAGACGGTACTGCCCATAGGGATAGACCTCTCTACGAGGTTCGCTTTTTCATTTCTCTCAACTAAGAAAGTCTTTGATTATGAGAAAATTATTACTTACTGATTAAGTTTGGGTTTTCAGATTCTAAAGGAGAATAAGGATAAGAAGGATGCTGAATTTAATGAAAGGTTCAAACATAGTGAGTAATAGCATTCAACCAGCATTTATGATTTATGATGACTTGTTTGTGAAAATTTGTTTGGATTATAAAGTATTGGGCTTCTTGTATTTTACAATAATACAAGTAAATGTGATTATGTATCTTGCAATGTCAACCGGTGTTGTCAAATAGTGGCTATAGTGGAATTCGAACAAGCCACTATTGTTCAGCGACACATAATTTAGTACTAAGTGTTGTCAAATAGCATGTATACGTGTTGTGGTGCCGTAAAGTAGGAAAATTTGAACAAACCGCTATTTTATGTAGTTATCCATTGACAATATTGATGCCAACTCTCAACTGTTAATCCTCTCATGTTTACTTGGTGGTGTACCTGGGGTGGAGGGAGAGGGGGGACAGGTAGGTGCTATGGCTCCCCTTCAAGTTTTTAATTTTTTTTAGAGTTAGGTAGTCAACTACTTTATGACCCCATGATTGGTTAACTACTAAGCAATTTTTTTTTATGAAATTTGAGATTTGGAGTGATAGAATGAGAATTTTAATACTGAACTTAGCAAAAGGCCTGAAAAAAACCAGCAAATCGCTGTTTTATTCTGCATCATATTAAATGTATTATATTGTACTTGTGAAAAGTACAATAGAGTGGATCGAACCGGCGATGTACCGGGCGAAACCCTTTTGTTCGCTGATATGTGAATATATCTTGAATATATTTCAATATTTGAACCTGCTGAAGTTATAACTACTCAAGTTGGTGTCTTGGAGGAGGGCACTGTTACCTTGAATTCTTAAGAATGGTTTGGTTGGTAAGAGTGAAAATTCAAGTTCCATGAACATGTTTGCTCGAACTTGAGTAAGAAAACATGAGATCGTCAATATCTCTAACTGCATATGGATGCTCATACATCTAACATTTATTAGAAAGATCAAAGATGTGGTCAATATGCTCATTCTAAACTAATTGGTTGAGCAAAAAGGTTGGGATAATTAAGTCAACTTTCAACCTGTCAATTACAGTTTTAGAACAATAAAAAACAAATAATTATTATTACTACTTCTACTTCCACTTCCATAGTATATATGTATGTAGTCAATAAATAAGAACAATAAGCCACACTATGAATGTGGAGGTGGAAAACTACCTTTTGATCCCTTGGTCAGGAACCAAGAGCCATTTAGCTGCAAAAGTACGTATATTGCATGAAATTCCTCCCATGGTTGCTTACATGTTATCTTAACTCTCGTGACATCATCATATAAGTATTAGAGCTTTGCTCATGTTCCGTTGAATTTTGGTTCCTGGCTTCACCACTGGCTGTACCTTTTGAGACGGGCATAGTTTAAGCTCATTGTTTTACTAATGTTCAGATTTCGCCCCCCCTTACTTTTTCTCTCTTCTACACGGTTTCCTTTTGTAGTAATCTTGGTTAAATTTTGACTTGTCGATATTTGTCACAGGACCTCCCAAAGCTTTAGATGAAGATGAGACCGAATTTCTTGATAGTTATGAAGCAGTAAGTTTCTGTTTTTCTTATTACAGCATTTGTTTGATAGGATTTACGTGCCTGGGACATGAGAGTATGAATTATGGAATTTTATCTGATTACACATATTTTTTGGGAAACAATTTGATCAGTTTTAAGGTTATGAGAACAACATAAACAAATGAAGAAATTGTTGATGCAGAGCTTATGAAAGTGTTTATTCTTCTTTCTAACATAAAACATGTGTTTTATCCACCTTTCAGTCAAGAAAGGAATATGAACGAAAAGTGGCAGATGAGGAAGCCCAACAACTACGTAGCTTTCAAGTTAAGTCATAACAATTACTATATGATAACAAAACTTTCTTTTTTTTTTTAATATTTTTTTTTCTTAATATTTTTTTTTTCTTAAACAAATTCCTCTTTTGTACTGTTATATTTTCTCTCAAATAATTTTGGATTTTTTCTGAGTCGAGCTTATCAACACGTGTCCATTACTCGATCATTGATTTTTTTTTCTATATGCTTTTGTATGTTGATCTCAGGCGGCAATAGCAGTGCAGTCCAACACTGTGATTGAAATTAAGGAAAAAGCCCCCGTACTTGCAATCCAGGTTGGTCAGCGGATTTACTTTCTTTTTCTAACAGTTTTTACGATGAATATAGTGCATTAATGATTACAATTCCATGCAGTAGTATTGCCTCCGCTATCCCAATTTCTTTGCTAACATTTTTAGATAATCAGCCAATATCAAAGTCTATCATGTGCAGTATAAGATCTTTGAAAACTAGTCGACCTGGAAGGGTTTGACCATCATCATTATCAATTGACATTCATACCAACATGTTTCTATTCTAGTATTTTATCCTTCATGTAGTTCTATTTTCTATAACTTCATAATTTATGAGTGATTTTTTGTTGTTGTGGTTTTTAAAATTCACAAATTTAGGTTCTCCCTTTTACCAGTAGGTTACTAGATTAGAACCTCCTCTTCTCTCTAGATTGCATATCATCATTTGGTACATTGTCCATGTTTATTCATCTAAGACTTGAAAAAAAGCCATAATTTATAATGATCCTGTGGCTGACGGATAAAAAAGTGGTTAACTGGTCAAAACAAATGTAGTATATGACTAGTCCAACACTTATGAGTTAAAGAGTTACAAAAACAAACGCCTCCCAGGTTCCCACACCCGATTCTGCAGCAATGTCCACTAACACAAAAGCCTTTCACCTCTTTAGTTTTTGTCCTCACTAAGTCACTTGACAATGACTAGTGTAATTAAACTCTTTTATCATTGCATTGTTTGGATCATAGTATTTCTAAAATTGGAATATCATGTTAGTTCAAGAAATAGTATAGTGATAAATACTCATGAATTCCAAAGAATATGAACTTCCAAGTAGTTATCTATGTTATATTACGTAATATTATCCGATAAAGCCAAAGACTAATCTCCTTGGACAATTTGGTTGGCTATTTTCAATGGGGCGTCCCTCTCCAACCACATTTTCCCTCCTACAAAGCTCATATCCGAGGTCTTGCTTAAGAGATAAAAATCTAGTTACACTCTGACCAACATTATGTTGCTGTTTTTCTGTCTCTTATTCAATCCGTTTTCTTTGACAGGAAGAAAAGCCTGCTGCTGGAAAGAAGAATCCAGCCTCTCGGCCATTAAGCATGATTATAAAAGTCAAGCCTCAAGCTAAAAAAGCCAAGGTGGATGAAGGAAATACTGAAGAAGTTTCAAAAGCAGGGATTACTTCTGTGAATGATAAGAGTAGGCCTTTAGAATCAGTACAACTATTGAACGGCATAGCTGATAAGTCAAATGAAGTTGGCCTAACTGGCCTTGTTTCGTATAGTGACGAAAGTGATGATGACTTGTAGTTTGATATCTGTATGATGAGAAGAAGTTATATGATTCTGGTTACTCATATGCCTATTATAGTAAAAACTAGATTTATAGTTGAAGGTTACCGATCCATGCATAAATATGATTTCCGACTAGATTGAGAATGGCTGCACATAGAATATACACTTTATTTGAAAAGAGAATATATTACAAAATAAAGACCAGAGAAACTGCATTTTAGTTTCCTGACCCCTAACCGAGTCAAGTTTTTATATTTGAAACATAGTAACATCTTGCCCTTATGCATTAAAAAGAGAAAGACATTTAGAATCTGGTATGGTGAAGCTTATAACAGTTGCTGATTTATAAGACCATGAATTTGATCAATGAAGGGAAGGAGATGTGCCTCCTCCACACACCATGTAACCAAACGAATCCCTCTATTTGGGAGTGGCAGCGAGCGCACAATGCCAGCTGGCACAATGACAGAGCCTTGAATGGGGACCACATGGACAGGTGGACCCCACTGATAGTCCACATTGTCGAATCCCAACCTCCCCCACTCAGACATAAAGACTGTGGCATAATTCGGTGTAGGTGCAAACGGGTCCTCCTCATCCTCATTGCCACATTTTATATGGTCCCCCTTCAAGTACTTATCAAACTCTAAAGGTAACCTGGACTTAGCTTCTTGAATCAGCTTTACCACTTCAATGATATTTACTGCTTTTCCAAGTGACTCGCATGAAGTTGTAGTTGTCACTGGGAAAAAACAGTTTCCGTAGAAACCATTGGGTAGAGGAGGGTCTATGAGGTGTCGACAATTTGCAAAGAAAACAAGCTTCACTTGGGTATTGGGATCAAAATTAATGGCTCTTGTTCTGCTGCTCCAAAACAAAGCAGCAACAATTTCAAAGGTAGAACAACCTCGCCTAGTTACTTGTTGAAACTGTCGTTTCAGCTGGTTGATTTGATCCATAGTCATGTCTATGTTAGAATGCTCTAGCTTGTAATGTGGCATTTTAGGTGGACTTGTTAGAGGTAGTTTTGGCAATGTATGAGCTTGAGGAGAGGGACAGAAGTTCCTGTACCACACTGGTTCAATGGTGGGCTTGTCAAGTCCTCTAGCTAGCTCCCCAACCGCGTTCAGAAATTGTGCAGCGCCAAGGCCATCACAAATGCTATGGCTGAATACCAGGCCTATCACAAAACCCCCACAACCAAATTGTGTCACCTAAAACAAGAAGAATTTTGTTACCACCAAATGAGTAAACCTCTCTATGGATACATAAAAATAATGACAAATTTAAACTATGCCTGTGTTGCTTTAATATTGTTTTAATATTGTTTTAAACTTTTAATTAGTTGTCTTGCTAAATATACATCCACATAAGAGTTGCTGTGCTAACATTAAATTAGCTAGAGCAAACCATTCTTAAATGTTAAGGTTTACGCATTCTGATTCTAGCAAATTCTGGTGTTTATGCTTTAAGTTCCAACAATTTGTTTCTTTTATTATTGGTCTTGACACTTTTTTGAAATGATACTCCTTTTAGTGTTTGCGATCAATTTCTATTTATTTAATATTGGCATAGCTTATGGAAATAGACGTCGCTATTGTCATGTATGATAACAAAAATTAAACAAGCTGAGCATGAAGTTTGCAACCCGATACCTGCATTTTCACAAGGGGTTCAATTTGTCCGATCTTCTGAACATCATTGGGAAGAAGATCATCATAGGGAATCGACTCCATGTCGTTAAAGAAATTGACAGAGTCAAGGCTGCAATCAGTTGATGCCTCAACGTACCACACACCACCACCCGAACACTCGATTTGGAGGCACCATGGTTTAGACTCTTTAAGCCGTCCTGCAAGAGGGTAGTAGGGAACAAGTGCTAGGGACAATGCCTCTCTTATGACCCTTGTTGCTTCAGGGCCATATCTAAACACATGCAAGGTTCTAACATTGCATCTTAAAACAGGTAATCTGTCGATTATCGACAAGTCTAGTGTGACCAATGGTGTCTCCTTTGCAGGCCTAACTAGGTCTCGTTTTGTTCTAATCACAGACATTGTCATGATAATCTATATAGAATAGAAACAAAAGAATGGCTTGGTAAGAGTGCTTAGTTTGTTTGATTTCATGATCCATTGTGGATAGGCTTTGTTTATATATGGTTAAATTGCAAATTTTAATTTTGAGCTTCTTGGCCTTCAAGTCTAATTTTTGTTTAGTAGGACCTTGAACTATTCCCCCAAGTCTAATTTTTGCCCTACATATTCTAAATATTGTGTGTGTGTGCACATTTGGAGGTGTACTCATCAGCATATGTTTTGCTTTGGCGTCAATGCAAACAAGTTTTGAGCAAAAATTTGTTTGATTGCAGAGGAAGTTTGAATAGTTAAAAATGAAGCTTTATTTTATGTGATTAAATTAATTACTATTTATTCTATTTTATGTTTGCGCTTATATCACATGTTTCTGTTTGGATCTTTGAAGCAACTCAAGCAAGGGGTCTCTCTTTTTACTTTAAGTACATTCATACGATTTCTTTAAAAAAAAAAATAGGCACATTCATACGTTACTTACCTATGTTTATGTTTCATATTACATATTTGTCTTAATAGACCAGTCCTTATGTTTCCTATAAATGCTTTTTAGAAATTTCTGAGATGAATTTCCGTAAAAGCACCGATAATTAAAAAATACTAATACAAAATCTATATAACCTCTCCTCTCTTTTCCAATCCATTCATATGTTAAAAATGGGTGATTCTATTCATGATCTCTATCCTTTCAATTTCTTTAATGGTGCTCTTGGAGTATCAGTTTTTGTAAATTTTCGTTTGAATAAAAAAATCTTCTTATTTGGGTGTTAAAATGAAAATGCAATTCTTTCGTTATACAATAGTTGTATTTTTTATGAAAAAATAATAGCTTATAATTGGATAATAAAATGAAATTCACCTACCAAATGCTTCTAACAGTTTTGAGAATGTTACCAATAAAAATGAATCTTGAGGAAATGATTCAGGAAGGAAGGAGAAAGATGCTATCCAAATTGAAATTAATCTTTTTACAATAGAGTAGTTGTATTTTTTTTTGAAGAAAAAGAAATAGTTTATAATTGAATAATGAAATGAAATTAATCTACAAAATGCTGATTACCACTCAACATGAATCTTAAGGAAGTGATTATGCTATCAAAATTGAAATTAATCTACCATTTTATAAAGATATTATATGTTTTTTATCGGTACTTTTACAACTCTGAAATTCATATATGCATCTTGGACGTAAAATAAATGTGTCTTATTTGTAACACTTTTGTTGGTGTGGTTTTAGATGTGTTTAAAATGCATTTTCAAATAAATGAAAGATATTTTTAGAATTTCAAAGAGGCGGGGTGCACCATTAAGGATGGGAAAAACATTTCTCTATTTTAATATGCAGATGAATTTAAGGCTCACATTGTTCGGAAAAAAAAGCGTGTTTGTGTGTTAGTTAAAAATAATTTTTTTCCTCCATATTTCATAGATTATATACTCTAGCTAACTTACTCCATTATATAAAGAGTGCACTTGTTTCATTCTAAAATCATACCAAAATTTTTTTTAGAGTATTTTTGTTCCTCAATCTCGTAACTTTACATTTTTCGATTTGTCGAAGCGTCAAGCATTTCCAATTTCTTTTTACTTGTTTAATTTTTTTTAGTATTTTCTTGAATTCTTTTTAAAAAATTATTTTAATTTTTGCTCCTTTGAGCCGAAGAATTATCATGTATTAATTGTTGCTTTCTCATTGGAGAATTATTTGAAATTCACTTTGCTTGAGACATCATTTTGAGTGGTTAAATGACTATTATTAAATTCGTTTTGGAGAATTATTTGAATTTCTCCTCGTTTGAGAAATTATCACATCTGATCTTTATACCAGATACTACGAGTAATATTTATACCATATTCAAATGGTATTTGTATGTATTTCAAAATCGTAAAAAAAACAATTTTAAAATGCTTTGAAATGTCATGATTACCAAAGAAATTATTGGTATTATTGTGGCTGTCTTTGACAAACCGTTCAAGTTTGATGGAAGTCATTTTAAATGTTTACAACAAAAGATGACGTTTTTCTTAACCTTGAAAAGGTTGTCGACGTTCTAACTGTGAACATTCTTGTTGCTTATTCTGGATCAACCGAACAGACTAACGACAAGAAGTTTGTCGATTTAGATGAAACTGTTAATTCAACTGAGTTAAAGTCAACGATTGCACAAACTAAAGCGAACAATTTGCAAATCAAGAAAGATATCGTCATATAGAAAGTGAATGTCTCTCTACAAAAATCACAGACTAATAAGACTCGCAGATGATCAATATAATTATTATAGTAACTATGATATTGCAAAACAGGTTTGTAGATTTAGATGAAACTGTTAATTCAACTGAGTTAAAGTCAATGTTTGCACAAACTAAAGCGAACAATTTGCAGATCAAGAAAAAATTGTCATATAGAAAGTGAACGTCTCTCTACAAAAATCACAGACTAATAGAACTCGCAGATGATCAATATGATTATTATCGTAACTATGATATTGCAAAACAAGTTTGTAGATTTAGATGAAACTGTTAATTCAACTGAGTTAAAGTCAACGATTGCACAAACTAAAGCGAACAATTTACAGATCAAGAAAGAAATCGTCATATAGAAAGTGAATGTCTCTCTACAAAAATCACAGACTAATAGGACTCGCATATGATCAATATGATTATTATAGTAACTATGATATTGCAAAACAGGTTTGAGAGGCTCTGAAAAAGAAGTATGACGCCGAAGAAGCCGAAGCAAAAAAGTATGTTATTAGTCGCTTCCTCAAGTATCAGATGTTATAGGTGCAATATTCGTAGAAGCTCAATGTCATGAACTTCAAAAGAAAGCTCATGAGATCATCACCAAAGACATGTCTTTAGATGAGCAGTTTCAAATTAGTTTTATTATTGACAAATTGTTCCCTAATTTGAAGGTTTTTCATAAAACAAAAGAATTTTCATCTGAGGACTTGATTATTCGCCTTTGAATTGAAGAAGAATCTCAGAGACAAGATCAAAAAGGAAAAATCTTGGTTATTTCGAACAACAAAAAGAAATTTGGTGTGGTTATGAAGCCGTTTGTCAAACCATTAAAGAATCGGAACTGCAACACTGTGAACTGAATTAAGAATGAGAACCCTTCAAGGCCCCAATCGCTCTAATAGTTAGACATCGAACATCCCAAAGATATGATGCTGGTATTTTCTCTTGTTTCAATTATGGAAAATCAAGTCATATGGTTAAGAGATGTAGAAACATGCCTAAACCTGGTGATGACCTTAATGTACATGTTAACCTGACTTATGGGCAATTTATTGATATGATCAGTGAATTTAACATGATTGGTTAATATGATGTTTAAGGGATAGACATTGACTTCTCTCGTCATGTCTATTATGATTGTGCGATGTTCAAAACACACACAAATATTGAAAATAATAAAGTGTTGTTAGGAGTTTCCTGTAACACCCTGTTTCCCGAAATAAAATAAAACAATTAAATAAGCACATATCAGAGTTTCTCTCCCAAACGGGATGTCACAATTTCCAACAAATTCCATAAATCATTTTTCCAAATTAATTTCTCAATAAAACTGCAGCGGAAAAATATATACATAGTCTGTCATAAATCACAAAACATCATATATATGTTATCCATATCCACCATCCTCGTCATATATATATACAACAATCGGCCAACTGCCTAAAATATATAACATGATCATCAACATCATCACATGTCTCACAAAAGTCAGATACGCCACAGGGGCACACATATCATCAATAAAAATAAGACTCCCCAAAAGCCCCGGTGTTACGTATCAGAGCAGTCCTACGACGACGCCACAATCCAAGCTAGATAAACACCTGAATTGTCTGTACTTCCGAAGAAGCACATACCACAACAACAACAACAAAGGGGTGAGAATCACGATCAAATATTAACGGTATCAACGTACATGAAATAAAAGGTAGAAACAATAACTTGATTATTTCATATATCTCACACCCAGACCTACTGTCCCATCAACAACAATCACACACACACAACCGCAATGCAACACATACACTCGACTCGACAATACGCGGTACCGACTCAACTCAGGATAGATCGCATACACTCCCTCTGAGCAACGATCTATCCCTACCACGCTCCTCATGAGCTCATATAATCACATATCAACGTCCCCCACTTGGGACACGGGTGGTCGCATACACTCCTTTCGAGCAACGATCCAAATTCTCGTCCACTCTCCCCACTGGAGCACGTGAGCCACACAGGCCTCACGTCCACACGCTCCCCACTGGAGCACGTGAGCCACACAGGCCTCACGTCCACACGCTCCTCATTTGGAGCACGTGAGCCACACAGGCCTCACGTCCACACGCTCCCCATTTTGAGCCACACAGGCCTCACGTCCACACGCTCTCCATTTGGAGCACGTGAGCCACACAGGCCTCACGTCCACACGCTCCCCATTTGGAGCATGTGAGTGTACCACACACCACGTCCACGCTCCCCACTGGAGCACACGAGTAAATCATACACCGCGTCCACGCTCCCCACTTGGAGCACGTGTGTGAATCACATACACTCCGCCGAGCCGTGATTCACCACGTCCACATGCTATGCATATACACACAAGCACACAAAGTGCATCGATCCTACTGATCCAATCACCACACAACAACACGTCAATACAATGCTCACAAGGCATATTCGATCCTACTGATCACAACTACCACACAACATATCACACACTATGCATATAAGGCATACCGATCCTACCGATCCAATCATATATCACATACATATTAAGCACACAAGTGCATCCGATCCTACCGATATAATCGTCACACAACAGCACATAATCACAACGCATATAAAGCGTATCGGTCCTACGGACCCACTTACCACAACACATCACTACAACATACTCAATGCGTAACGATCCTACTGATCCGCATATTTCGCACACTGTGCATACA